GTTGTCCCTTTCTGTTGGCACGAAATAAAGGTAATTCCTTTCTTCTCCCCCTTTGTCTAGAAGTTTCCTCTGGGGGACGGAAAATGGCAACACGTAAACTTGCGCGGAAAGTTGAAGAGCATTGCCGGGGAAAGCAACCCGAAGGAACGAGGAGGCAAAAATCTTCTGGGGACTAGGGTTATGATAAAGTCACAGCCGACGATTCTAGTGCAATCACAGCAAGATTTGATTGGGGAAATCTATTGACTGCTAGGATTCAATTGACCAATAAAAAATCATCGTACAATTAGAACGGTTCAACTTATTATTGGAGGAGAATGAGTCCGTGATGTAAGATTTTTTTTTTTAAATTTAATAATTATTATTTTATAATTTAATATAATTTAAATTAAAAAATAAAATACTCATTGATTAATATGTTGTTTTGTCATTTTTTATATTTACAATTAAAATTTTCTTAAATCAATTCTATATCTCAAAATTAATTCTCTTCGTATAATTTGAAGGATACATCCAAAATCAGTCTATTATATTTAGAAAATAATAATTTTTTTAAATATTAGCTCACAACTTGAACACCCAAATTACCATACAAAAGTATTTAGTTAACAGCATATCCAACTTTTGAAGCTATAAAATTCATTAAATAAGAAGAAACAATCCCAAATATCACATACCTTATCCATATCCAATAATCTAAGTTCACCGATACTTTTTTTTGTTATTTATTTTTCTAAGAATTAAAAAAAAAAAAAATCTGATAATCAAAGATTTTTCAGTAAAAGCAAAGTTTTTACGCAAGAAAAACAAACGTAGTGCCACAACACCTCGAGAATCATGTAAGAAAGTCGAAAACATTGGATATACATTATGATATCGAAAAAACAAACATTTGTTACATATGCGCAATGCGTGCATCGTGTAAAGCAAAACAGAAAGCTAATCCCACCATTTAATCATGAAAGGCCAGATTCTTGATCTTTGCTGCCCTCCGAAATGTTTGACAACAATTCTTGGATACGATTTGCCAGCCCTAAAGCTTCTCGATCTACCTTTAATTGACGCCTGTGCAAACTCTGTAAAATTCGCCACCGTTTCATATCCATAAATACAGGACAGGAGGGTTTGCCTAACGTGAAAAGATATAAGCAGGTGAAGTATATGACATACCTTGGAAGTCCACAAGCAGTCATGTGCTTTCCGAGGGATTATGTGAATATGAGTCTGTAATTTGGATGTTAAAAGTGATCATCTCCCTCAAAATAATTAAACAGGTTAGTCAGCTAGTGAATGATATGTTAGTTCTACCAACACAACTAATAGTTGTTTCTTTAATTCAATACCGAAAAACATGATATCGATATATGAGATTGTGGAAAATCAAGACATATATTTTATGATAATGAAAAAGTTTAAATATTCTTAATGAATCAACATGTAAAATATATTCATTAAAAGTATTTAAATGATTTCTTATGCAGTACCGGCATGATGATTTTTACTTTTCTTATTGTATTTTCATCTTTGAAAGTCAATAAACAATTACTTCATTGGTTCCCAAGAAACAAAATGGAACCTAGAAAATGAAGGAGAGAACAACTACTTACATGAAATATAACTTGGCCTGCTGCTGCACCATTGTTAACCAATAAATTGAATGAATCTGCACAGTCCAATACCTCTAGTTAATTAAATTCACATGGTCCTCACTTGGTGTACTTAAACAGTACTGTGGAAAATACATTGTCATCTAAGTCTTCTCATGGAGATGTTACCTTTGTCATCGACTTGGTAATTAAAGTGATCTGGTTCAATCCAATAGAGTTTCTAATCATCACACTTGTCTGTTTGGTTTACAGGAAAATTCACTTGAAAATTATAGGTAGCATAACATATGGTTATTTTACCCTTTATTTTCAGTTAAAGAAAAATAAAAGAGAAGAGTTTAGAAAACTTCTCCGATGAAGTTGATTTTTCTGAAAGAGGTAAAAGAATATCTTTTACCCATCTTTTAAGTACTTTGTTTCTCAATTATACATTTATGGATAATGTTACCCGTAATTTCCATGAAATCATTTCAGTGAACCAAATGGAGGATTAATCATAATCATGATGATTCTCTCTTTATGTCACTCAGCTTGTTCATCAATATGAACATAAAAGTTAAGGATGTAGTCTTGTACTCATAATGGGAGAACTAAATGAGAAGGATAGTTTTCTAAGAAGCAACAGTTGTGATCAGTATAAAACCCTCTCATTTTTTATTCCTAAATAAAAAAGAGTAAGTAGTTATGAGAAATATATTTTGAAATTCGCTTTAAGTCATATAAATTGCATTCCAAGGGCCATGAATCTCCAATTAATCAGTGGAAGATTTCACACGCTGCACAAAGTCAATGAAGTCTATAACATAGAGTGATAAAGATAGCAAGACTTGAATGCTATAACAGCAGCAAAGAAAAATGAACATACCAGAACCAGTAGCTTTCATGATTGCATTGCTGATGAAAGGTACCTTTGAACACATCGCTGCTACCACCTGCAGATAACACTTCTATTATTACTGTTTTAAATGAAAATTCTGAAACAAAATGAATTTTCACACAGCTTGCTACTTCTCTGTAGAATTTAATCCAAAAACTATCTAAATGCACATGTGCTGATAAATAAACATATGAATGGCTGAACATATAAATTTTGGCAATGAAGACAAATCAACTAACTTGGGCAGCCACAAGGAAAGGAATATTGATGAATAAAGAGTTCAATCAACTCTGAGATCAAGCTCCTGAATTTCAGAAGAACAGTCAACACCCTCAATTTAAGAGCAGGTGCTGACAGACTAATAGAATCCATAAAGTTGTCTGCTTCAGAAAACACACACAAACCACCACAAACACAAAGGTCAAACTATCAGATATTTAAGAATGCAGATACTGGCAGTAATGAAAAAGAAACCCAGCAAGAAAACTCATAGCAGGCAAAATGCCACTGCTCCTACTTCCAGCTTTTGACTCCTAAATTCACATGCTTATTCCTATCATTTTCACCTATATTTGCAAAATTCATTACCATTAATATTCATAATGCAGAATGTTTGGCAATTATAAGACTGCTGGACTGTGTCTAGCAATTACTTACAGATGGATGAGTCGCATCCAAGGAAGAAAAATGAGCCTTCGGAATGATAAGAGAGTGCCTGGGAAATAAAAGGATATGGTAAATAGAATCAGTATGTTAGCAACAAATCATGTTAACCAATTTGAGAAGGTTAAAGATGAAGAATCAAAATAGATGTCTAATATATAAGAACTGGTACTTAAAACCAAAATTGCTAAGTTCATAAACTGAGGCCAAACTCCCAAAGGCCTCTCTGGTCTTTAATAAAACTACATGCCTACTGTACCAAAACCAACTATAACACTTACACAAAAAATCCATATTTTAGCATAGATGCTTATGGTTCTTGTGCAACAATAATTTGAGCACAGCTATAAACATATTGTTAGGGGTTGTTTTCTTCTTACTTTATAAATTAGTAAGTAAAAGGTTGAATGCATCCATAAACCCTTTCTCTTCAATTTTGAAAGTAGAACTTAATACTCTAAAATTTGAATGGCCAGCAAGCCTTCTTTATGTTTTAGCCTTCTATTTTCAACAAACATCACTGCAAATTTTTACTCATTTTCACTTCTAATGGTTACTTGCTTGGAGTTTATACCCCAAAATCAGTATCTAAAAAGAGTGAGAACTTGAGACTCCAAGTTGGTCATTTCAAGTTTAAAACTTGAGACAGATGATGAAGAGGAATTTGGGAAATGGTAGGGTCATCCCTGTGTTGTCTAGCTCAATGCAAAACAATGTTCAAGTAAACTTTCACACTCAAGAGAAAGCAGACTACAAGGAATAATGGAGCAAACTAGATGTTAATACATATTGGGAAGCTGATACCTTACCCATGACTCAGAGGATTCACGTCCAAAATACAGAGGCACATATCATCTTCATACAACTGAACCACACCGAAATCCAACAAAGAATCGCAATTAAGCTACAAGAAATCTATTTAGAGAAAAAAAAATTGCATTTGCTAAAGCTTAATTAAGCTTAACCTTGAAAGCGGGGGCGTCACCACGTATAATCTGGCAAAAGACACAGTCACTTCGTAAGCACCCCTTATCAGAACCATCCAGCTTCTGCTCACTGTCGGAGCCAGAGGCGCAACCCGAAACAGAAAAACCCGAAAACCTGGGGGCCGGACCGGTGGGACAAAGATGGGAGAAGAGAACGGCGATCCGGCGAGCTTCCATTTGAAATTACAACATCGCAGGTGATGGGTATTGCAGGGGTAGGAAAAGGTCATGGAGACATGGAGACCGGGAATTTCGGACAGGGAAGGAGGATATCAAGGAGCCTGTGGTGGTTTGGGTTTCGGTTATCCAAGTCAAGGCACGTGCAGATTATGCGTTGTGACGTGTCTGGTGTGTGTGTCTGTGGCAGTAGCAGTCATGTTTTGTCCTCTCCGGTTTTCCTTCGTATGGGGACAAAACAAACTGACGATGGAGAAAAAGGACACCGTTTTATGAAGATGTGCTTAAAATGTTTATGGCCTAGTTAGCCCAATTAAAGGCCAGTTTAACTTTAAAGACGATTGTTGTCCCTCTACTTTCATATTTTATTCGTTCTTGTCCCTCTACTAAGGATTTGTTCGTTGTCATCCCTTTACTCCATCAAGTAGCCATATGTCGTCCCTCTACTCCACTTTTTTGGTTCATTGTCATCCCTTCCCTAACGGCATTCATGTTGCCGTCACTGCTGACTGTTATGTCCTAAACGGTCAGCAGTTCAACCAATTTGTTCTTTTTTTTTTTTCCACATGTGCTGCCATGTGCAAGAATGGGGACCACTTTGCCCAATTTGCCTCCCTACTTACTCAGACAGTCAGACCCCATAATTTCTTATGTTTTTTTTCTTGTTGCAGAGATGCCATACTTTCTTTTTTTTTTTTCTTTTTTTGTTGTTGGGATGCCAAAAAAAAACACTTGTGAAAAAAGTAAGCCAAGTGGGGGAATCATCATTTAAATAACTTAAAATAATAAATTTAATTAAATACATATAATTTTTGAGATTTAAACTAATAAATATTAAAAAAACATAATATAAGATAAATTTACTAAACATGATAATAAGGAAAAACTCAATTTTAAACTAAATTTACTACAAAATAAGTCTTAAATATAATTTAAATAAATATAA